CTATGGATAGATGGCAAAAATACACTGGTACTGCAAAATCTGCTGCTTGAGGGCAGCAGCTGCCTCTGAGTGCCTAGGAGAATGCCTGAATCCACTCAGCCTCCAGAAAGTTAAATGGAATGACCTCTGATGCCCTTTCTGTTCCTAGGATTCCATACCACAACTGGCGGACATTTAAGACCAGGTGCAAGACAAACTGAAAACATCCTATATATGTAAAGCAAAATTCCTAACCTACAAAGTCCTGCGTCAAATTCATCATATCAATAGTGGAAGAGCAAAGCTAATGCTGAAAGCACGTGGACAATGCGGAAAGACAAAACTGTACACTCATCATGGCACTTTTTTGACATACTGTTACAAAGAACTGCTTTTTTCTGCCCATTTGATTCATAACAATTAGTTCCTAAATGCTCGCATGTAAGCCACCACACTAGCAAAGGAAATCTATTCAGATTCATGTTCCTATCTGCTAACTATGGTAATTTATAATATAGCCTATCTATCCATCTATGGCATATACAGTCTTCTGACACAACACAGAAACTTTAACAAAAGCCTACGGAAAACATATTTTTCCATTTTTTTGAGGAAGGCTCATATAAAATCGAGCAAATTGCTAATAATCTCCAGAACAGCAACAGTGTCAATCTGGTGTAACAAAAAGACTCCTGATTTTTTTCCAGTGGAGTTCTGGTATTCCAGAAAGACTTTTCTGTAGCCCTTCCCCAAAAGCAGCTCTACAGGAACACTGGGCCCTCCAGAACAACTAGAAAAAGGGGAGATTTGCAATTCCCACTTCCTCTAGTGGCCAACATCCACTGGACTCCAGTTTTCGCCCAAAGACATGACTGGATCCAAGATGGTGAGTCTTGTGGCACCTTAAGTCTAAAGCTACTGGAAGCTATTATCCACATAACTGGAAATCAGTAAGATTAATGCCTGTGGTAAATATATGACAAAGGTATTTGACATCTTTCATATCCACATATTTCACACTTGATTTATGAGAGAACTTTAAAGCTGCCATATACAGAAGCAACAAATCAATGCTTAACCTCCGTTCTGTTAAATTGAAAGAAGGTTCTTTTGATCTCAGCTAGTGACATGTGAACACAATTGTAGGTAGATGGCTGGAAAAAAAATCTACTGCTACACCACCACAATTCATCTTCTGTATCAGCACAACGGGTCCTATATCACCCCAACCAGCCTGAGGCAAAAATTACACCTTATGTTTTAGCACTTGCACACTGGCCACCTAAATCAGGGCAGGGCACACTCAAAACACACGACCTTTGTACTTTACTGTAATGAGGACTGTCTGTACTTTACATAGGGATGTCCGAATATTCAACACTGTTTTTGTCTACTAATGTAAGCAATCAATTCAGACTTTTAGGAAGAAGAATCTGCCCTGTTCCAAACAATCTATTAGGGAGAAGGGAAGGAAAGAAAGGATGCAAGGAGAAAAGACAAAGGGTGGAAACAGCCACCACTGGCTTCAGTATTCATCCAGCAGAGTGGACCCAAGAGAATGTGGCCCTTAACAGTGTGGGAGAGCCAGAATATGAGGTAGTGGTTACAGCACTGGACTAAGCCATGGGAGACTCGTGCTTAAATTTCTGCTGAATTATGAAGCTCACTGGGTAACCCCATTCTAGTCACAGTATCTCAGCTTAATCTACTTCACGGGGTTGTTATAAGGATAAAGCAGGAAGGAAGATGCCCCATGTAAACTGCCCTGAGTTCAGTGGATGAAAGGCAGGACATAAAAATAGCAAATAAATAGATAGATAGATAGATAGATAGATAGATAGATAGATAGATAGATAGATAGATAGATAGATAGATAGATAGATAGATAGATAGATAGATAGATAGATAGATAGATAGATAGATAGATAAATAAATAAATAAATAAATAAATAAATAAATAAATAAATAAAGGAAATAACATTCACTATCCATGTATCATGCCAAACCAAAAAGTTTCAGAATTAAAATATTTGCAGTTCAGGAACAATCACAGAATGACGATAAAGGCATAATGTACTGTCCCTAACAACTTGCTGGATGACAAGGCACCCTCTCTCTCTCTCTCTCTCTCTTCACAGGAAGCACTATAGTTAGGACTCCTTGTTTGGTCCAAGAGTTATGTGGGGCTTAAACAGGCTGAATTTTAAAATCCATATCCCACACAAAAGCAAAACCTCGAGTTAAAATGTGCCCAAGTTTCCCCTCCAATTCTTCATTAGTGTCATTTATATTCAAGAAGTAAACATGGTTTGCAGCATATTTCTAAGTATAGGTACTCTGTAGATTCTCAATGAGATTTAGCTGAGTACAATGTGTTTAAGACTGCAATCTTCGTAGTAACAGATAGTATTCTTCGTAGTAACAGATCAGACACTACCATGTTTCCCCAAAAATAAAGACGGGGTCTTATATTAATTTTTGCTCCAAAAACACATTAGGGCTTATTTTCAGGGGATTTTTTTTTCATGTACAACAATCTACATTTATGCAAACACACTCATGTCATCTGCTGCTGCACAATGGTGGAGGGCAGGGTTTCATTCCACTGGGGCTTATTTTTTGGGTAGAGCTTATATTACAAGCATGCTGAAAAATCATACTAGGGCTTATTTTTAGGGTAGGTCTTATTTTCGGGGAAACAGGGCATTAATACTATATGCATATCAGACAATTGTCCATTACCATACAAGTAGAATATAAAGGAGTATGCATTTCTTATTGCAAAAATAAGCAGAAATGAAGAAACCAATGTCAGGCAGCTAAATGTATTATTTAAGAATGTGTAAAACACACAGAACATTGCATGCATTTCATTACAAAACAGTATATATGCTTTCGCAGTCAGATATAATGCAATTCGTTGGGGGGGGAACCCTCCCAGTTTATAATGTGATACACTGTGCTTCTGTATCCACAATTCAAAATATCAGGAAATGGTCCAATATGGCTGTACAATATTTTGCCCACCTTGCGAGTAGAAAAAAGGATGCCAAGCTTTATAAAGCAAAGGGCAGCCTGAATATACCCGATCTAGCCAGGAGGTGAGGCTGAGGAGCCTAACGCTGAGGGAGGCCTGGAAGGAAAAAACAAGAAACCGGGCCTTCTCGGCAGTGGCTCCTCATCTTTGGAATAGCCTCCCTCCTGAGATTCATATGGCCCCTTCGCTGGGCACCTTTAAATGCCAGTTGAAAACCTGGCTGTTTAAGAAAGCCTTCCCTCCACCCACCGTCTGAATTTTGTTATCTTGTGTTTTCTCCCATCTTGGATCATAGGTTATTTAGTAATACACTGTTATGATTTTAAATTATTAAATTGTTACATGATATGCTGTTACCCGCCCAGAGTAGTCTGTAGGACTAGATGGGTGGGCTATAAATGTAATTAATTAATTAATTAATTAATTAAATGCTGACAACACCAATGCTCTGGGAGCTGTAGTCCAAATACTTCTGGGGACTAGCATTTCGGAAGTACTGACCTACAGGATACCTTCTTGCGCTCACTACCATTTACAATCTGACATCAAGCAAGGGAAAATCTGGGAAGCTGCCATTTTGGGGGGGGGGAATCAATTAACCACTTCTCACCAAAACATAAAGCAGCTGTGAATGGTAGTGCTGGTAAGCCTCTTCCACTCATGCTCAGTTTATAACAAAATAATTGATTTTCTCTCTTGAAAGGCCTTTTTAAGATCACTATTTCAGCCTCTGCAGCTGAAAAAAGCGGACACAGCCAACCATTCTCCTTCAAGATAAGCAAAATTGGTCTTTTCAATTTATTTAATCTGTTTTACGGGGGTAAAACAGAATTATTTTTCAAAACCATAACTCAAAAAACCTTTAACCAAACTTCCCCACATTGGCACAGAGCAAGAGCAGACTGCCTGCTACATCTTTGCCAAATGCCATTCAAAGTCCAGTTTCAAAGATACAATTTTTATTTGGGTTGCTCCCATTTTTAGAACTGCCTTGTAGAATGTTGATTCACTCTGCTGTGCAATAACATAATTAGCATCAAATGCACAACATTTGATAATAATCAAATCAATCAATGCCTTTTAAATAAATGAACACTTTCTTAATTCTAAGGAAGTGTCTATATTAAAACTATGACCCAAGACCGTAATACCCTTAATCAAAATATTTCATTTCACTGGGCCATATAAATAGCCTTACCCATTCAGACAGCACATGCTTGGCTGAGAAGGGCAGTGGCTGGAAATTTGCAACGTCCTTAGCTTTTGAACTGCACGGTTTCTGAAGATGTTCCAGTTTTCATGCTCCAAAAACAGCAACATTTCAAAAGACCAAAGGCTAAATAGAACCACATTAAACACCAAATATTAAACCTTTACTACCAGGTCTGCGTTCATTCTACATACATAAAGAACAGAAGCCTGTTACAAACAATAAAGTTAGTCGCTCCACTGCTAGCATGCAAAAAAAAAAAAACCCACATACTACACTAACACCTGACAGCATTATGCTCATGCTGTAATACTACAATCCTTTGCATACTTACCTGGAAATCTGCATAGTATTGCAGCATTAATCTATTATCATTTATGGCACTACAAGACCCTTGGATTTTATTATTATTACAATACCCCTTTATTGACAGAAACAGAGAGCATAGCTGACTGGTTCCCCCCCCCCCAGGGGAAAGAAACCACTTACTCTTCCACCCATCAAAAAGCTGATATCTTAAAAAGACTGCCAGATTGGCCAAGCTGTTAAAACCGGGTGGGAAGGGAAGACGACAATGTCAATTGAAGGTTCGGGTGCCAGAGGCTCTATGCGTGTTCGTGTGAGAAAGAATTACGAACATCTTAAGAGGCAGCACCCGTGTGCACGTGTCCCCGGAGGTAATTGCGCTGGATTCACACAGGCGAGTTCAGAACAGCAGCCTCAAAAAGTTTTATCTTGCGACCCCTTCCCCACCGCGACCTCGCCCTCGCCTACCTTCCCGTTCGAGACCAAGGATCAAAGGGCCGGCTGCCCATCCGAAGCATTCACACGTTCGGGCAAATGGGTGTCGGGGAAAACCAGCACGCCAGGATGCCTTACCGTAAAGGCTGGCAGGAGGGGGGGGAGCGGCATTCACCTCCTGGCAGGCGCCGAACACAAAGAAAGTCCACCCCTGACCCACCCATCCACTATCGGTGGGGCAAACCGCCCTCTGCCCATGGTCTCCGCGGAGAGGGGGGGGCGCGGCCAAGGCGGCTCCGC